TATCGCCCGATCCTCACGCGCATTTGAATGGAGGTTACCGGACATTGCAAAAGCCAAATGGTTTGCCAACTTTTGTAGACAAAATACGAAAATGTCCATTCCAGTGACTTTTTGGAGAATTCACAAATACAGGAAAGACGCACTTCTGACTATTTCGTTAACGCTGACTTCGTTGAAGAATATAGTCAAATGTCTGTATCTCATATAGATGCGTTTCAGTCAAAAACCAATAATAAATGTTAATCTTTTGCCACTTCTGAGAGATTATAGGTCTTTGGGAAATATTGGTAGATCTAGGAAGACCATTTAAGTGCAACATCTACCAATAAATTGGAAATGAACAAATTAGTTTAAGTTGATATTATTCGAAAATTAGAGAATGAACCTGATGGTTTTCTTTTATTATTTGTCACCATATCTTGTGGAATTCTTTCGAGTATCTCGTCTATATAAACTGTATCATTTATTATAGTGTTGTAGGGTATTCAACGGTCGGCCCCGCTCGACTGTAGCCTTTGCTTACTTGTTTTTTTTTTCAAAATGTTGACCCATTTTCTTGTTTTAATCCCTCAACTTTATATTCCTCTCCCGCCATTGAACCCCCGCAAACTACAAATAAAATACGATGTTATCGTCGCTTTTGTTTTACAAATTAACTGACTAAAATAGAAATACGACAAATATAAATAAACCAATAAAACAGAGAGAAAAAATACAAAAGCAAGCATTAAAAATATATTCGCAACAAAAATAATAATAGTAGCTATTATAAATAAATCAAGTTATTCAAACAGCAACAAACCTTGAAACTCCAAACCCTAAATTGGTGTTGATTGTGCCAATAAAAGTTTGAGGCGAAGACAAAATAGTAAATTATGTATATCGCCTAGAGTGTGGGAATTTGTTTTGGAACCGTAATGCAGGTTTGAGTTTTCATGGAAGAATTTCTAGTTTCTTTTTAGATAGCCGCTTCCCTTGGATATCGGAACCTGAAAGGCTATACAAAGAAGAAAATATTTCTACTGCTCATGTGGAAATCTATACAAAGCCAGCCAACATTTAATCAAAGTTTCTTTTAATTAAAAAAAAAAAAACAGTAAAGAAAGTCGGGCGGGACCGACTTTATGATACCCTACACTACTTTGCTAATTATGTAGAGCTCCACATAACAATTAAAAGATTTTATGGCAGAATTTAATCATACACGCTATGATTATAATTGTAATTTAAAGTTCAAAGGACTAAATATGCCGAAGCATTTGTGTCTTTTAAATTCGGACTTATATTGCCCATTTGGTGCAAAATTAATTTGAAATCAGATAAAGATATATATGACAGCTATATCCAAATCTGAACCGATCTCGATAAAATTTGGCATAGATATTTCTGAACTGTATTTGATATATTTCCCTGAATATCGCTGTTACGGAGTGCATATTATGGCTGTGGGTAACAAATACAACAAATCGGATGAACAATATATATGGGAGCTGTAGCTATATCTGAACCGATCTTCACCAAATTTGACATACTAGCTTCTATACTCAATTCGTTCGTAAGTGCCAAATTCCATCCCATTTGAACAAATATTAGACGTTTGGTGCACAATCCAAGGTAAATCGGACTAAGTTACATATGGGAGCTTTATCCAAATCTGAACCGATCTCGATCAAATTTGGCATACTTATTTTCAGGCCTAATTTGGTTGTATGTGCAAAATTCCATAATATTCGGGGTGATATTACACGTTTGGTGCACAATAAAATGCAAATCGGATGAAAATATATATAAGAGCTATATCTAAATTTTGACCGATTATCTCCAATTTCAATAGGGTTCGTCCTTGGGCCAAACAAATGATCTGTGCAAAATTTTATCTAGATAGGGTAATAAATGCGAATTGTACTTTGTTTACAAAAATACATGGACAGACGGACGGACGGATATGCATAAATCGACTCAGAATGTGATTCTATGCAGATCATCAAAAGGAACTATGGGTCTATCTCGTTTCCTTTTGCCTGTTACAAAACAAATGCACAAAGACATAATACCCTGACCACCTTGTGGTGTAGGGTAAAAAAATCGAGATGTAGATTCCTATACACCAAGAGTCATCAAAATTAGTACCATTTTGTACTTTTCGAATAATTACAGGGCGAGATAAAAAAAGAACTGCAACAACGTCAAACGCCATAATTTTTACATTTTTTTTAAATTTTATTGAATGAAAGCAAAAAATGTCGGAAATAGCATCAAATTATAGAATAGGTTTAGATCTGTTCGAATTGGTCACCTTTGGCACGACTTATGGCTTTAAACGGTCAATGAAACCGTCATACACTGCCCGAATGTTGAGGTGATTGACACTTTGGTATTTTTTAGTACCAACCTTGCTTTCCAAAATACTCCAAACACAATAGTCCAACGGATTGGTATCCGGAGATTTTGGTAGACATTGTGCGTTGAAAATGAAGCGAGAAACCTCATTTTGTAACCATTTTTGGGTGGCGTCTGTTAGAATGTCCAAGGTCTGCGGTTAAAATGTTTGCGCGTCCAAGGATTTAATATACCGTTCAGAATATTTTCGCGATAATTTTCGGCATTTATTCTGATGCCACGGTTGATTAATACGAGCATTGAGCGACCATCGGCTGTTATGGCGGCTCATTACCATGGCCGGCGCTTGAGTTCTGGTGGCCAACCGAAGATGCAGAAGGTGCACATTTTCAGCTGACCTCTTTGGCAAGTAAACACGATTATTTTGTTTGTTCACAAACTGCTGGACATCGAATGTTTGGTAATCGGAGAAAACCAAATTCGGCAGTTCACCACTTTCGGCCAAGCGAAACAACTCTAGCTCTTTCGAGTCTATTTTCTTTCTGTTGTTGTTGCGGTGTAAGCTCTTGCACTTTTTGGAATTTCAATGGCTTTACCCCGAGCTCATTTTTCAATATTTGCCGAATACAATATTACGATGTATTCAGCTCACGAGTCATTTTTCGGCCAATGCGATTTCTTTAGTTTTCGAACCATTTCTGCTGATGTTGCTGTTTTCTTACGTCCACATCACACGGTAACGAGTGATGGTACGAGATACAAAATTTAAAATACTGGAGTGCTCTAACGATAGCCACTTGTGGTTTTCCAGCCAAATATAAAGAAATCACACTATCACGCTTGAATTCCATCACGAATAACTTTTTTTTCTGGAAAGCTCTTACCAAAATGCTTTTGTACGCGTGTAAGCAATATAATGAGCTGTCACTGGAATAATTTTAACAACTGTCGGACGAGTGGCTTAGAAATGAGAGCAGTCTGAACTTGGTTGCAGTTTTCTTATCTCACCCTGTATATGGGAGCTATATCCAAATCAGAACCGATCTTGATAAAATTTGGCGGAGGTATTTCTGGGTTGTATTTAATATCTTATACCAGACATCATTCTTCTGGGGTGCATATTACGAATGTGGGGGTCTTAAACATCAAATCGGATGAAACCTATATATGGGAGCTATAGCTATATCCGATTTTCTCCTAATTCTATGTACTTTCTTCTAGTTTGAATTCGGTCGGATGTGCCAATATTCACGACTTTTGCACTGATATTGACCATTTGGTGCACAATTTGGTTGAAGATATATATGGGAGCTATATCTGAATCTGAACCAATGTCGATAAAAATTGGCAAAGGTATTTATAAATATTAAATGTTCTGCCACCGGAGCTAGTACCCATTTTGAATTACCAATACCAATGTTTAGACAAATCAGTGAAAATCATCACAAGACCGAGTATATGGGGTTATACAAAAAACATGGACCTATACATATAATGTTTCACCACCGGAGCTAGAACCCATTATGATTCGCAAATACCAATTTTTGGACAAATCCGTTGAAAATGTGGCGAAAACCATCAAAATATCGAATATCTTTAGGTACCGTTATATGGCGGCTATATCAAAACGTGGACCGATACATACAATGTTTCGCCACCGAAGCTAGGGCCCATTATGACCTACAAATACCAATTTTTAGACAAATCCGTTGAAAAATGTGGCGAAAACCATCAAAATATCGAATATCTGGAGGTACCGTTATATGGCTGCTATATAAAAACGTGGACCTATATACACAATGTTTCACCACCGAAACTTGAATCCATGATCTATGATCTACAAATACCAATTTTTAGACAAATGTGTCGAAAATCATCAAAATACCGAATATCTGGAGGTACCGTTATGCATCTCATTGTCAATACCAATCATCCTAGATATAATGCAAATTGTTCTGCCAAATTTTGAAGCTCTTCATCAAATAACTTGGGTTTGATCGTGATTTCAACAGAGAGACGGACAGACAGACGGACACCGTTAAATCGACTTAGGATTTTATGTTGATAATAAATATATATATTTTACTGGGTCTACGTCGAATATTTAAGGATGTTACAAACGGAATGACAAAGTTAATATATCCTCGTTTTCAAGATGGAACGTATAAAAGAGGTTTCATTAAGGTGCGAGAATTTATTCACACGCTCCGGCTCTATCGTGTTATTGACATTGCCGTTATTTTAATGAGGTAGCCATCGTTCGAATCGATTTCAAATGAAAGTGAAAGGTGAATAAGTCACATTTGGCTGCTCTTCAAAATGTTTAAAATTCAAAATATCTTAACTTCCACTTAGCATGAGGGTATTTGATTTCGTTTTCTTGTTTGTGACCGCCAAAAAACAGAATGAAATAACCAAATTTTTGCCAGAATTCGAAACCGGTTCCGGCGGCAATCTAATAGGCAAGAATATTGCTAAATTATACACACACGCACAAAAAAAACAAATCTGCATTTAACAAAATATGGCTAATGAAGACGACGTGTGTTGTGGATATCAGTGACATAATAGAATAAAAGTGAAACTGGAATACAAAAACAAAAAAAAAAAAAAGAGACAAATACAAAATAACATTTGTTAAAAAATTAAATACTGATGTTTTTATTTTTTTGTTTGTTTGGAATAATACTTTTGGCAAAAGCTAAACCAAAGGTTTGAATTGCTTTTAAATCGTTTCGTATTCAGATGCGTGTACGGTACACACGACGACGAACCGTCCTGTAACGGTAACCATCGTCGGCTAACTCTGTGCCAAAATCGGCAACAGGGGGAGCTATGGAGTTGCTAATATCGGCAAAGGCAACCTGGGATACGCCGCCACCGAAACCACCTCCAAAGGAGTTTCCCACCGGGGGAGGAATGTAAGTGTTTGTGGGTGCGGAATATGTTTGAAAGACCGGTGCAGGTGCTGGGCCAGGAGGAATATAACTGCTGGAGGGAACTGAAACGGAAGCTTCTGGAGGAATGTAAGCATTTGAAGGAGCCCCACCAAAACCACCACCAAATGTCTGGCCAAAACTTCCACTACTCTGTGAGTTACCGAAACCACCTCCCCTGCAATGGGACCAAATGAGGGTGCTTGATAATTGTAACCCAGTTCCGAGACATCTGCCATTGCAGCAGAGCACAAAGCCAGACATAAAATCGCGTATTTCTAAAAAAGAGAAATTGAAAATTATTTACATTTCAATATTAAAAATTGAATCCTGCCACTTACCATTGTTAATGTCGTAAGAATCTCGGTTTTTGTTTCAGGTGTAATGCCAACACATAACTGATTCAGACTCCAAAGATGTAGTTCACTTTTATACTTTTGCCGTTGATGGCTATGGTCGGTCGATCGTTCGGTGACAATGTCATAAATTGATTAACACAAAATTAACGGAAATTATATTTTCAATAAAAATCCGCGCTAACTTATCTCAAAATGTGTAGCATTTCAACGTTTGTCATTGATCAATCAGATATCAAAATATTTCTGCATCCTTCACAGATTGCAATGCAATGCTTGTATGGGTTGATAGATATTTCGAAACATCTGTCAGATACAGTGGAACCTTTTTTTTGGTGAACTATGACTATTTCGAAAATCTTTTTCATTTAAAACAACCAGTTCTACTGACACCTTGGCTTAAAGTTCCATAATCTGAGCTGATTCATTACAAAACGTGTTTTTGACCACACATCAACCTCAGGCGTCGTTAATGAGGGCAGTTAATTAAAATCGTTTTAGAGGCCTATCTCATTTGACCAATAACAATATATTTCACAGCCAATAAATTAACTTGGTCTTCTGATTTGAATTTTAAGAAGTCGGTTCGGTTGTTGCTTTAATATTCAACGTCAAAGATTGGACAAGTTTAACGTTCTTTTACGAACGTCTTGGTTGTTATATGGATTTCCGTAAACTTTGTGGATGGGCAAATATAATAAATCAAATATATTTTAAACAAGTTTAAATGTTTCAGTCAGTGTACCGACTGTGATATACCCTCAGCATTGGGTCATATATTTATGTATGTCTTTTTTTGGTAACCATAAATATGAGACCTATATTTTTTACAAGATCTAATATTCTTTTTTTTTTAATAATGACTAGGGACATATGCAGGATGAGGACCCGAACTCCTCCGGAATGGTTATTTTTCTGATATTTTATAATTTGCTGGGCAAAAATTAGAAATTATTATATCAGTTGACATATTGACAAGTTCCGTAATAAAGGAAAAAATATTGCCATGTGCATTGTTTGATCAATATCGGATAGTTATTTTACACATTATGGAAGTTATTTTAATAAAATATGTTGAGCCTTTATGGGAGGAATGGACCGATATATTGGTTGCTATAATTTTTAAAAATTCTCACCATTTATGGGGGTGGTACCAGAGTGAGTGGTCCGCCATATCAAATATTCACACTGGCTCTTGTGTTGGTAGAAATACTAGGGTGTCTGAAATTTTAAGATATTTGGACTTTTATTTAACATGTTACCCTTTGTGTGGAAGCTGTCCGAAGGGGTGAATCGATATCGACAATTTTCCTACCGAATGTTACCACATTTGAATGGAGTCAGATACTCCCTTACCTCTCTATGAGACATTGATTATACCCTACAACACTATGTGTTGGGGTATTATAAGTTAGGTTGGGCCAAAATTATGTAACACCTCGAAATATTCGTTTCCCACATAGGAAAGTAAATATGGATCTTCCTATCTCGCCGAGCTGAGTCGATCTAGCTATGTATGTCCGTCCGTCTGCCCGTCTGTCTGCAAATTTGTAATCACGCTACAGTCGCAATTATGACACGAACCTCACGAAATTGAAAATGGAGGTGGGGTTAGGATCAAATAGAAGTCTACTGATTTTGGAGATGATGGCTCTCCAATTGAAATTATAGATCAATCGAAGCGGAAATTAGCTTGGGGCTAAAGCATAGGGCTGAGCAGAAGGCATCCAATTTTGATAGTAATCGGGTAATTTTTAGTGGGTGAAATAGACCACAACATTTGTGTTAAATAAAAGTCAAATTTTTCATTAAACCGCGAATATTTTTAATTCTGACGAAATCACAAATAGACGAACAGGACAATTCTGACCATTACGTAGATGCCGATAGTAAATATATAGGATATATATAGCGAAATAAATTTTTACAAGGGCAGGGTTAGGCTCAGAAGGGCTAGGCCTATTATTTTTAAAGATGTCCGCAATATATTCAGGGGTTGAAATGGACCAACAACTAAAAATGTTCCCGTTATAAAGGTCACAAATAGAAACTAAAGGACATAAAATCTCGTACATAGTTAGACTTTAGGACAGCGGGTAGAATGGACCACTAAATTTGTGAGAAAAAATACAAACATTACTTACAGGGGAAATCCAAAATACACAAAAGGTGAACTTTTGGCGATGGTGTTAAGTCCTGTTGGAATGTCCAAGGTCTGCGGCCAAAATGTTGGCGTGCCCAAGGCTTTAATACACCCTCCAGAATATTTTTGCGATAATATTCGGATTTTTTTTGATGCCATGGTCGATTAATACAAGCGGAGAGCGACCATCGGCTGTTATTGCGGCCCACACCATCACCATGGCCGGCGCTTGAGTTTTGGTGGCCAACCGAAGGTGCACATTTTCAAGTGTCCTCTTTGTCACGATCATTTTGTTTGTTTACAAACTGCTGGACAACGAATGTTTTCTCATCGGAGACGGAGAAAACCAAATTCGGCAAAGTGAAGCAACTCTTTAGCTCCTTTGAGTATATTTTCTTTCTGTTGCGGTGTAATTTCTTGCACTTTTTGGAATTTCAATGGCTTTACCCCGAGCTCATTTTTCAACATTTGCTGAGTGTAATATTGTGATATGTTCATCTCACGAGCCATGCGATGCGGGTTTCGATCAAGTCGCTTCTTTACTTCTCGAACCATTTCTGCTGATGTTGCTGTTTTCCTCCGTCCACTTTCTTGACATCGGGCTACGCTACCAGTATCACGTTAACGAGCGATGGTACGAGACACAAAAGATTTATTCACAATTAAATGCTGGAGTGCTCTATCGATATCCAGGTTTGGTTTTCCAGCCAAATATACCACGCTACCACGCTTGAATTCCATCGCGAATAACTTTTTTTCTGGAAAATTCTCACCAAAATGCTTTTGTGCGCTTGTAAACAATATAATGAGCTGTCACTGGAATAATTTTAACAACTGTCGGACGAGTGTCTTAGAAATGGCAGCAGTCTGAATTTGGTTGCAGTTTTTTCATCTCACCCTGTATATTTAAATAATCGAACATTGGCAAAACCGACTGATATTTTTATCTTGTTGGTATAAGATTTTGTAAGACGATTCTTGTTTAAACACGAAGTTTGGGTACGCTATAACGAGTCAAGTATATATAGTACAAAATTGGCACATGGTAATATATTTTTCAGATTTAGGTCAGATGCAAACATGAAGAATATTATTCCATTGTTTCTTATACCACCTCACCAATTAGATCAAAATATTCCTTATGAAGATGTTATGTATGAATCCATTCCTTCTGTTACCTTTTCCATAATGAGAGATTTGTCTCCAGTTATCAAACTTCGCACACTGCATCAACTTCTATCTAATAGAGAACTTCAATATAAAAAATATCCCATGTCGATCCAGGTACGTTATAGAGTTCGTCCGTCAGTTCTGTATCCCAATCAGGACTCCTTCGTTTTATAGGAAAATTGTAATTTTTGTATCATTGTTACCCCTGGGGGAGTAAGAAAATGATGTGCAATATCCTCTACACTATTAATCGCCTTCTTCGGCCTGGTTATGCAGGAAACAAATACACAAACTCCGTTGGATATGAAATAGGTATTTATGTAATAGTAGCAACGAATGACTCTACAACCCCATTTTTAAACCACACTTATTGAAAATATGTACTCCGAACCTTGAGGTCCCATAATTTGGCATAGTTCTAATACAACATTTACAATTTCAAATTAGTTCCCGTATTAACTGATAAGATCTTAGTGGAGATAAAATCTTCTTGCAGTACATCTTCAGGTTATGTCCATGATTTGTCACGATTTGTCGTCGGTGTATATATAATAACATTTAACGAAACACTCAAACAATTAAAACTAAATAACAACATTTATTTAAAAACAAAAATCAAGAAATAACAATTTCAGCACTTCTGCAAAAGAAATGCCTAATTAACTAAAAGAATCTAATATTTAATAACGTTGACGGTAGACACGACGACGATTGGTTTGTAGCGGTAACCATCTTCGGCCAACTCAGCGGTGGGAATGGGTGCAGATTCGGCGGCAGGGGGAACGTAAGTGTTGACGGGGGCAGAAGCGGCGGCTGGTGGAATATATGAATTTACAGGGGCACTGGCAGCTGGTGGAACATAGCTACTCTCAGGGGCAGAGGCTGCAGGAGAATATAACTGTTGACTGGTGCCGAAGCAGCTGGAGGAATATAACTATTCACAGGTACTGAACTGCTATAGCCACCTTCATTGGCATAATCTCCATGAACTTCGGTTGCAGCTGGAGCTTGATATCCATAATCGCTCAATTCAGAGACATCAGCCATAACGGCGCCCAACAAGGCCAAAGAGACAATAAGGAATTTCTGCAAAGGGACAAATCAAATTAGTTGCAATAATGATTTGTGTGAATATTTTCGATTTTTTTTACCATTTTCTAGATTTGTATTTGCTGAACTGTGTTATCGAAGAAATAACTGATGTTTTGTGAGAATTCGCGCCGTTTATATATCTTGATTTACGAGATATTATTTTCGATTCAAAATTTCTGTTTTAAAGATGACCTCTCAATACGATTACTTATTTGTTTGCGACATTCTTTGCCAATTGGCCAAACCATTCACTTGATTTACATAACATGACAGCTGTTATGAATGGGAGTATTAGCGTGCAGGTCATTCCAAATCATGGTAAAACTCTTCACGTTGTTATGTATCTTAGTAGAGTTGGAGGCAAACATTTGCAGTTCGAAAAGACACAACAAACAGAAAATGATGAGTTTGAACCTTCGTATACCATAGAGGTATTCTTTTTGATAGGAGACCTTCTATAACTTCGAAAGACCTTGTAGTGATAAATCCTATACAATCAGATAAAAAAAAACTTATTCAGGCATTTATTGATGCAAGGTTCAGAATTGGACCTGGAGTAAATTGATGTTGAAAATGGCTCTTTATCTATAGGCCTTCTAAAGTTTTTAGCCCTCTACGCGATTTCTATGCATAAAACACAATCTTAAGGTTTGCTTTACACAAAACACTTTCTTAAGGTCCTTTCTATAGAGTAGACCTCGTAAAGGCAACAAAAACTTTCCAGTAGTGTTATATATCCGAAACATCTGTTAAAGGTCTTCTATATGGCAAGATTTCTGAAAGTTGTCTATACAAAAAAGATATGTTTAAGCCTGAGACGCTCTAAATATCTTCTATCTCTTTTAAAAAGTATTTTATAAGCCAAAGAAGAACGCTAAGATGCCTCTCTAGAGGGGTTCTAAGAAAAAGACTTTCTGAAGAAGAAGAAGAAGCATCGACACAGAAACCCTTTAATACCTTTTTAAGGAAAACCAATTTTTTGTATACACAAAAGGGTTTCAAAGGTATTCAATTCAGAGTAAAGAGTCTGGAATAGAGGTATTTTTAAGATCTTCTATACAGAAAATACTTCTGAAGGTGGTTTAATACAGATGCGACTTTTTAAACGACTTCGATACGGAAAAGGCCGTCTAAAGTTGTTCTGTACAGGAAGACCTCCAACACAGAAAAAATCTTCCAAAGAAGTTTTGTAGAATACAAGTATCCGCTACTTCGACAGTGAAAAGTCCACCTTAAAATTTTAGATTCGTTCCACCAGTTCATTTTAGTATTTAAAAATTACAATTCTTCAGTATTTCTTGGACAAAATTTCCAAATAAACTTCATACACCGTACTCCTATTTGTTTTCATTTTGGAAGATGATAATTGAAAAATAATTAAATTTTGCACAAAAAAAAGTCTGCAAAAAACATTTGTTGAAGTTTATGGAAAAGCATATTAGTAAGTCCATTGCACCATGATTCCACGTCCGATTTTTTTGGACAAAACTATTTCAACGTATTTTCATAATGGAAAATTTCCACCTGCATATCTAAATTCTAAAAACCAGAAGTGACCTTAATATCATATTTCGGGATTCAATTTCTATCTATTGGCTCACTTTTTGTACAGTTATACTACAAATGTTCAATACCACCTCAACTGTGACCTCGACATCAATTTCAGAATTCCCTCAATACTCAACGGCACATTTTGTGGCTTTTTGTAGTTTTAATACATCCAAAACAATCTCCATATCTCAACCTCAGATACCAACAGTGACCTAAATATTAAATTTAATGATTTAAGTTCTGTAATTTTCCCCATTATTAAGTTTAAAATCATTTAATATCTTATAGTATGCTCTTCCCAAAACCAGCTGCTTCTCTCAACTACAGTTTCCAACAATCACATCCACATCTATCTCCTACACTCAATACCAAATTTTGGACTATTTCGTAAGTTTCGCACTACTATTGTACCCATTTCCAATGCCACCCTCCATATCTTAACCACAGACACCAATAGTGATATCTATATCTAATTTCAGGATTTCCGCTCTATTCCTTCAACAATGCCAAATTATTACTGTTTAGTACTTTTCGTATAATTATAGTACACATTTGCAAAACCAGCTCTTTCTCTCAACCACAGACACCAACTGTGACATCTATATCTTTGTGCATTTGTTTGTAACAGACAAAAGGAAACGAGATAGACCCATAGTTCCTTTTGATGATCTGCATAGAATCACATTCTGAGTCGATTTATGCATGGCCGTCCGTCCGTCTGTCCATGTATTTTTGTAAACAAAATACTGTTCGCATTTATTGGCCTATCCAGATGAAATTTTGCACAAATCATTTGTTTGGCCCAAGGACAAACCCTATTGAAATTGGAGATAATCGGTAAAAATTTAGATGTAGCTCCCATATATATCTTCGTCCGATTTGCCTTTTATTGTGCACCAAACGTCTAACATCAGCCCCAATGGAATGCAATTTGCACATACAACCAAATTAGGCCTGAAAATAAGTATGCCAAATTTGATCGAAATCGGTTCAGATATAGCTATAGCTCCCATATATTGTTCATCCGATTTGCTATTTTTGTCCTCCACAGCCGTAATATGCACTCTGTAACAACAATATTTGGGGAAATATATGAAATACAGCTCAGAAATACATTTGCTAAATTTTATGGAGATTGGTTCAGATTTGGATATAGCTCCCATATATAACTTCGTCCGATTTGCCTTTATTGTGCACCAAACGTCTAATATTTGCCCAAATTGGATGAAATTTGGCACTTACGACCGAATTGAGTCTAGAAGCTAGTATGCCAAATTTGGTGAAGATCAGTTCAGATATTCCTATAGCTCCCATATATACTGTTCATCCGATTTTGTTATATTTGTTACCCACAGTCGTAATATGCACTAAGTAACAACGATATTCAGGAAAATATATCGAATACAGCTCAGAAATATCTTTGTCAAATCTTATCGAGATCGGTTCCGATTTGGATATAGCTCCCATATATATTTTTATCCGATTTCAAATTAATTGTGCACCAAATATTTATTATATTTAGTCCTTTGAACTTTAAATTATAATTATAATCATAACGTGTATGGTTGAATTCTCCCATTAAAACTTTTAATTGTTATGCGGAGCTCTACTAATTTAGCAAAGTGGTGTAGGGTATCATAAAGTCGGCCCCGCCCGACTTTAAGACTTTCTTTACTGGTTTCTCATTGGGGGCGATTCTGTCCTCTGCGAACAAGAATAATTAAATTACTTTTTTTTTAATTCTTAAATACATTTGAAACCTTCAAGTCCTTTTAATCGTTATATAAAGGAGCTGTATGATGGACCTATATTGTAATCATTTTGTCTTTGAACTAATATATACTTCAGCATGATCCAATATAGCATATTTTCAATATCAACCCAATTCCAATCTACAAATAACTGCAATATAGGCCCACTTTTTGACCTTCTGGGAATAACTATGTTTTTTTTTTATTTATCAGAAATTTTCAGTCAATCGAATTCATGTCGATTTTGTTTTTCTATGGCTTCGGATTTTTTTTTTTTTTTTTGAAACAAAAAAAATATATCTATTAAGTTATTGATACGGTTTCCACACGAATTCAAATATGAAGCGATCTGGAAAAAATTTATATCAAATATTTCTAGACTGTGTCTGATGTCTTTTATCGAATATCATTATTACGGACGCAAATTCCTGCTTTGGGTGACCTTAATATCAAATCGGTTAAAAAACATATATGGGAGCTGTGGCTATATCTGAACCGATTTTCACTCCTTCTGCACAAAATTTGATCTGAAGTATATTGTGCACCAAATATGTAATATCAGCCGAGGAGGATGAGTTGTGGCACATATAATTCATCCTCCTCGGCTGGCATTACATATATGGTGCACAATATACTTGAGATCGAAGATATATATGGAAGCTATATCTAAATCTGGTCCGATTGTTACCAATTCCAATGTTGTCGTAAAATATACGGGCAAAAGGACGAATATGTATGTATATATCGACTCAGAATGTGATTCTATGGAAATACTTAAAAGAAACTAGGGATATATTTCGTTTCGTTTTGTATGATACAAAATAAATGCACAAGCACATGATATTATGTCCTGTGTGACATAAGGTAAGAGAGTTAAGTATACAAGCATCCTACATTTAATACCAAAATGTCAAACCTTTTGGCCCCTCTTTACAGCCTCTCCTTCTCGGGAGAAAAACAAGTCCGATATATCCTAATGTATGACTATATTTTATGAAAATCTAATTATCCCACAGAAACTCAAAAACTTTTCATAAAATCATAACATTTATTACAAAAACTCAACAACTTCGTTCAAATATCACAGTCCACAATTGACTTCAATATTTACAACTCTAATTTAGACACGTTTACGGTAGACACGGTGGCGGTGGGTCTTGTAACGGTAACCGTCTTGAGCCAATTCAACAGTTGGTTCAGGGGCTGAGGCAGCAGCGGGTGGGATATAAGTGTTGACGGGTTCAGATGCAGCTACAGGGGGGACATAGGTGTTGACGGGTTCCGAGGCGGCTACGGGAGGAACATAAGTGTTGACAGGTTCCGAAGCAGCTGGAGGAATGTAGGTGTTAACAGGAGCTGAAGGAGCTGGGGCATGATAATCATAACCACCCGACAATTCGGAGACATCAGCCATAACGGCGGCAACCAAGGCCAAGGCGACAATGAAGAATTTCTAAGGAAATTTGCGAAAAATAACATTTTTTTTAAATCCTTTTTTTAATATTTTCAAATTAGCTTACCATTTTGTTAATGGTTATTTGGGGGATGTTGCTTGTAAAACTCTTAAAGAATTTGTGTTGCCCCTCAATGCCCACCAATTGCCTATTTATAGAACAAATTCTTATTTCATAAATTCACTTTTATTTTGGAAATGCAACAGCCATGGAAATTTGAAGTAGGAAATGATGAATGTGTTTTTGTTAGGCAAATTCAAAAATAGTAGGCAACTTTATAACTCAATATGCCATACTCGGTGACAATTCAAACCACAGGCCGGCCATTCATCTTAATTTGCCATAAAAATATTTCCTTGTTTTTTGCTTTGAACTTCATATTAGAGCACACTGGCTGGCTATTTGAGAACAAAAGCAGAAGTCATCAGTTTCATTTTCATTTAAATAAAGTGAATGGTATTTTTGTTAATAATCGGCCAAAAATGTATTGCGAACAACGAACTTATAGACTTATACAAACATTGATGCTTCTTAAAGACTTATATGGTTGCTAAATATTATTGTGGTAGAAAATTCAATTTTGTATAAAAACATCAAGTATTTGCCAAAATATCATCACAATTACTTCAGTAGTTATCGAAAATACACCAATCTTCAAAATGGTAATATTGCATCAAAATTTTATTTAGAATCCCAATTTTATGTTTGGTTTTTGATTTTTTAGAAATTCTTCATTGTTGCCTTGGCTTTGGTTGCCGCCGTTACGGCCGATGTCTCCGAGTTGTCGAGTGGCTATGACTATCACGCCCCTGCTCCTTCGGCTCCAGTCAATACTTATATCCCACCGGCAGCTGCTTCAGAACCTGTCAACACCTATGTTCCTCCCGTAGCTGCTTCGGAACCCGTCAACACCTATGTTCCCCCCGTAGCTGCCTCTGAACCCGTTAACACTTATATCCCTCCCGCAGCTGCCTCGGCCCCTGAACCAACTGTTGAATTGGCTCAAGACGGTTACCGTTACAAGACCCACCGTCATCGTGTCTACCGTAAACGTGTCTAAGCCAAGTTTGAACAATTTTTGTTGTTTTTGTTGGTATTAAATAAATGTTATTGTTTTTGAAAAAAAAAACTTATTTCGTAAGTTTTCCAATATGAGAGCCTATAGGTTAGCTTTTTAAAATTTCTGAAATATTTCGAATATTATAGCACTTAATAAATGATCAGCTCCTGTTTTTGGTTATTGCAAGGGTCTTGGTAAGATTTTCCTATTGATTTGATGGAAAATTATTATTTTGGAGTTTTGCTTTTTTCACTCAGTACCAATAACTCCACTAAAAATTTGTCCAACCAAATCGGTTTTAATAATATTAAATACCATTTGTCAAAATATTTTCACACCAAAAAAATTATCAAATCTTGGAAATATGATCAAGACCCTCAATATAAATGAAATCAGTATTATCTTCTTCCTTTGAAATTTATTGCGAAAAAGTGTAGTACGGGCAAGAATCGACTGGAAAATATTACCAAGACCTTTGCAATAACCAAAATCAGTTTTATAATTATATAACAGCTGTACCAATAGTTGGACCTATATTAATAATTTTTATACACTCCACCATACATATTATGGAGGGTATATTAAGTTCGTCATTTCGTTCGTAACACATCGAAACAATAATTTTAGACCTAACAAAGTATATATTCTTGATCAGAGTAAAATTCTAAAACGCAAATTCGTCCATCCGTTGGAATGTAAGTCTGTCCATCTGTTGTAATTACGCTAGAGTCAATATGAAACTAAAAATTTGAACAGATCTGTCTTTGTGGCCTGCCTACAGGTCAAGTTCGGTCCAAGATATCATATAGCCCCCACATAACGTTACCCCTGACATTTGGTATTTTGATAATTTTAGGAATTGGAATTTTCTGAAAAGCCTCACAAGAAGTTCTTTTTAAGAGAATTGTCTACAGGGTGAGATAAAAAAAACTGCAAGAAAGTCAAACGCCATAATTTTTACATTTTTTTCAATTTTATTGAAAAAAAAAAACAAAAAATGTCGAAAAAGCATCAATTTTAGAATAAGTTTAGATTTGTTCGAATTGGTCACCTTTGGCACGAATTACGCTCACACGCTGTCCGAATGTTGCTCTGCGCTATTTTGGCCCATTCCCAGGGAAACGCTTGCTTGAGGTGATCGACATTCCTTGTTTTTCAAAATACTCCAGACACAATAGTCCAACCGACCGGTATCCGGAGATTTTGGTGGCCATTTTTTTGTAACCATGGGTGGCGTGTGCTGAGTGCGATGGTGCTGAGTCCTGTTGGAATGTCCAAGGTCAGCGGCCAAAATGTTTGCGTGCCCAAGGCTTTAATACACCCTCCAGAATATTTTCGCGATAATATTCGGCATTTATTCTGATGCCACGGTCTATTAATACGAGCGGGGAGAGTGACCATCGGCTGCAATGGCGGCCCACACCATAACCATGGCGCGCGTTTAAGTTCTGGTGGCCAACCGAAGGTGCAGAAAGTGCACATTTTCAGCCAAATATAAAAAGTCATACTATCACGCTTGAAGCTTGAATTCCATCACGAATAACTTTCTTTCTAGAAAATTCTGAACAAAATGCTTTTGTATGCTTGTAAACTATATAAAGAGCTGTAACTGAAATAATTTTAACAGTTGTCGGACGAGTGGATTAGAAATGACAGCAGTCTGAAATTGGTTGCAGTTTTTTCATCTCACCCTGTATATCCGATATATCTACTATCGTAACGGTCAGAATTGACCTTTTGCGTGAATTTGTAATTCGCCGTTTAATGCAAAAATTGGACTTTTATTTAACAAATGTTATTGTCTATTTCAACCACTAAATATTATTCTATGACCATCCAAATTGGAAGGCTTCTACCCATCCCTAAGTTCTAGCCCCATGTTAACTTCCGCGTTGATTGGTTTATAATTGCGACCTGTAGAGCAACTGCAAAGTCAGAAAATTTTTCAGTTTTTGGTCTATTTCAACCCGTAAATATAATGCTATAATCTCAAAAAACAATGTGGCTCCATTCTGACCCTATCCCGACCTCCATTTTCAATTTCGTGAGGATCGGGTCATAATTGCGACCTGTAGCTTGATTACAAATTAACATGGATAGACGGACGGACGGACATTCATAGCTAGATCGACTCATGTCGAGGAGATAGGAAGATCCATATATATTTTCCTATGTGGAACACCAATATTTCGAGGTGTTACATAATTTTTGGTCCAATCAAACTTATAATAAACCCAACACATAGTATTGTAGGGTATAAACAAATTTAATTAAAGTTTTTTTTTTTTAAAAATATAACATTTATTAACGACTCAACAAAACACTGTCAAAAAATACCAAACTCTTTGATTTAGAAACGTTTACGGTAGACAACACGACGGTGGGTCTTGTAACGATAACCATCATCGGCCAATTCAACAGTTGGTTGAGGAGCCGAGGCAGCTGCGGGTGGGATATAAGTGTTGACAGGTTCAGAGGCAGCTACAGGGGGTACATAAGTGTTGACGGGTTCCGAAGCAGCCACGGGAGGAACATAAGTGTTGACGGGCTCCGAAGCAGCTGGTGGGATATAGGTGTTGACTGGAGCCGAAGGAGCTGGGGCGTGATAATCATAACCCGATGACAATTCGGAGACATCAGCCATAACGGCGGCAACCAAAGCCAAGGCAACAATGAAGAATTTCTAAAGGTATAAGGGAGAAATTAGAAAATATTTATTTCAAGATATTTTTTTCCTCATGGGATTTCCATGAAAAAAATTATTATTTTGTGAGTATTTTATAATTGGCTTACCATTTTAGACAATTTTAATTATTTTTGGAGAACTGCTTAAAGAACACTTTAAGTTCTGAACACAGAAATTATGACGTGGAGTTTCTTCCACACTGTGTCTATTTATATGAATGCATCGCCTTCTTTAGTCCTAAAATAATGCACAATTTTTCTGATTACTTGAAATGGAAATGCAAATGTGTATTTTCTTAAAAATGATTAATGCCTGGCTTGCTGTCTGGGTTATTTTTATTAGGGGCTTTTAATAAGCCATACTAGGCAAATACGCACAACACAACAAAAGGTGATTATGTGGATTAATAAAATGCCGATTTTTAAGTTTCCAAAATAGTTTCTTGTTTTCTAAATGAGCCACTGCAATTTGTCATCTAAACAAAAAAAACTAGCCAAACATCTTTAGTTTCGTTTTTTGATTTGAATAAAGTGAAAGGCTACTCTGTGAAATAGCATTTCCGACTTATTCTAAGCCAACATTGAAATGTCTATTTTTGGCCACAACTATTAGTTGAGTGAACTTAGAACAATTTTTTTTTTAATTTTTGGGGAAAAAGTAATTTTTCTATAAAAACTTAGGCAGATTTTGAAAAATATTATCAAACTTACTTTGGTAGTTATTCAATAAACATCAAAAAATTCCAAAATGGTAAGAATAAAGGAAAAAAATCAATATTTATGGCTAGAATTTAAGCAATTCGCCTTCTTTTGTAGAAATTCTTCATTGTTGCCTTGGCTTTGGTTGCCGCCGTTATGGCTGATGTCTCCGAATTGTCGTCGGGTTATGACTATCATGCCCCAGCTCCTTCGGCTCCTGTTAACACCTATATTCCTCCAGCTGCTTCGGAGCCCGTCAACACTTATGTTCCTCCAGTAGCTGCCTCGGAACCCGTCAACACCTATGTTCCTCCTGTAGCTGCCTCTGAACCCGTCAACACTTACATCCCACCCGCAGCTGCCTCGGCTCCTCAACCAACTGTTGAATTGGCCGATGATGGTTATCGTTACAAGACCCACCGTCGTGTTGTCTACCGTAAACGTTTCTAAATCGCAGATTTTGGTATTTTTTGATAGTGTGTTGTTGACTCTTTAATAAATGTTATATTTGTATAGAAAAAATTGATTGGATTTTTCATAAATTCCGATATATAATTTTCCAGCAAAATGTGAGAATCAATAACAGGATACTGGGATTTTCCCCCTCTAGAGTTCATAATGTTCTAGAAAAAATACACATCTCATGTAAATCGAGGGAAGACTTAGGTCAGGTGCCAAAAAGGTAAATATCGATTCATTTATTCTAGTACATACCCCACAAAGCGTCAAAAGTTCTGCAATAACACTGATCAAATGCGGCGAATTTTCTCCAAACACTACACATCCCCGCAAAGTTTTTTTCAAACTTCATATATTTCAATATTTCTGTCAATACTAAATCCGCTGTGAAAATGAGAAATTTTGAAAATTTTAAATAAGTATAAAGAGAATACCTACCGAATACATGCTTCTATCCGAACTTAGGGCGTTGGAGTGTTTGAATCAGACTAATATCGGCAACTATCTTCATTTTAATGAAATATTAGTAAACATTTTTAAATATGTAAAGTATTCCTGATTTTCTTTAAATTTCGTATTATGGGAAATTTCGACGGAACCAGATTTTCAGACTTTTAATGCTTTACATATTATTCCAGCATATCCTTTTTTCGGAGCGAATAATTGAAAAATGTTTACGTTTTATACCAAAAACCACTGACATCAACATCAAATTTTAAGAATTCCAGCTCTTTACCTTCACTCAATATCAACATTAGTATCTTGTACTTTTCAAGCAATTATGCTATTCATTTCCAAAATCACCTCCATTTCCAATTCATATACCAACAGTGGCATCAATATCAAATTTAAGGATACCGGATATATCCCTTCACCCGATACCAAATTTAGTACCACATAGTACTTTACTTTTACTACCCATTTCCAGAAACACCTCAACATCTTAACCGCCGCCACCAACAGTGACATATATATATACAGTTTCGGGGTTTCAGCTCTATTCCTTCACTCAATACCAATTTTAGTACTTTTTGTACAAATATAGGACGATCTTCCTATTCCAAAATCCAAAGTATTCCAAATTTAGTACCATTTAGTACAGTTCGCATACACATGCCAAAACCAACTTCATATATCAAAATTTACTTTCCAACTTTGATTCTCATAACAATTTAAATATTTTTAGACCTATCCGTTCTCATAATACGAAATGGTACAATTTTAGATGTTTATAACCATTTTAGAACTTGTCGTAACCTTAAAGTTCGAATTTCCGTAGGTGCATGTAACAGGGTGAGATGAAAAAACTGCAACCAACTTCAGACTGGTGTCATTTCTAAGCCATTCGTCCGACAGCTGTTAAAATTATTCCAGTGACAGCTCATTATATTGTTTACAAGCGTGCAAAAGCATTTTGGTGAGAATTTTCCAGAAAAAAGGGTATTCGTGATGAAATTCAAGCGCGATGATGTGATTTCTTTATATTTGGCTGGAAAACCACTAGTGGTTATCGTTAGAGCACTCCAGCATTTAAATGTGAATAAATCTATTGTGTCTGATACCATCACTCGTTAACGTGTGATGTGGACGTAAGAAAACAGCAACATCAGCAGAAATGGTTCGAAAAGTAAAGAAGTCGCATTGGCCGAAAAATGACTCGTGAGCTGAACATATCGTAATATTCCATTCGGCAAATATTGAAAAATGAGCTCGGGGTAAAGTCATTGAAATTACAAAAAGTGTAGGAACTTACACCGCAACAGAAAGAAAATAGACTCAAAAGAGCTAAAGAGTTGCTTCGCTTGGCTGAAAGTGGTGAAGTGCAGAATTTGGTTTTCTCCGTCTCCGATGAGAAAATATTCGTTGTCCAGCAGTTTGTAAACAAAAGTATTTGCTTGTCAAAGAGGCCGCATTTTGGCCGCCGACCTTGGACATTCCAACAGGACTCAGCACCATCGCAATCAGCACGCGCTACTCAAGAATGGTTACAAAATGAGGTTCCTCGCTTCATTTCCAGCGCACAATGGCCATCAAAATTTCCGGATACCAATCCGTTGGACTATTGTGTCTGGAGTATTTTGGAAAGCAAGGTTGGCACTAAAAATACCAAAGTGTCGATCACCTCAAGCAAGCGCTTCGCCGGGAATGAGCCAAAATACCGCAGAGGAACATTCGGGTAGCGTGTGACGGTTTCATTGGCCGTTTGAAGGCCATAATTCGTGTCAAAGATGACCAATTCGAACACATCTAAACTTATTTTAAAATTTGATGCTATTTCCGACATTTTTTGCTTTCATTCAATAAAAATTTAAAAATGTTAAAAATATAATAATAATATGTCGTTTGACTTTGTTGCAACTTTTTATCTCACCCTGCACTTATCTTTCTTCTTGATTTCCATACCAAATTTCCAATTTTTTAGCTCTATTAAGAACTTTTCCTAAATTTAAAGTTCGAATTTTCAAAGGCCTTTGGTACGTCTATCCTGCATCCCTAGTTTAAGAATTCTAACTAATTTAGTTTGTCCAACACAAAGTATTAAATTTTTGGTACATTTTAGTACTATCCGTATGCTTTAAAATAATACCAAATGGTACCATTTTAGAAATTCTGAACATTTTTTGGACTAGTTTAAGTCATCGGCAGGCTTCTTCTTAGAAGACATAGATGAATATATACTTCATTCCCTTCGCAATACATTAAAATGTGGGTCGTAGATTTTGATATATTGCGAATGGAATTATATATATATATATATATATATATATATATATATATATATATATATATATATATATATATATATATATATATATATATATATATATATATATAATATCTCCTCCATTTCATGGTGGAGAGTGTAAAAAATATCTATACTTTCGCCTATATATGAAATATGGGCTATATTTAATTTTCAATTCTTAAATTCTCCTCAACATTCAATTTAAATTAAAAGACTTTACAAATACATACACACTAACATTTATTCAAAAAAACAAAAACAACAAACATATCTCATTTTCACTTAGAAACGTTTACGATAGACACGATGACGGTGAGTCTTGTAACGGTAGCCGTCTTGAGCCAATTCAACAGTTGGTTCAGGAGCCGATGCAGCTGCGGGTGGGATATAAGTATTAACGGGTTCAGAGGCAGCTACGGGGGGAATATAGGTGTTGACGGGTTCCGAAGCAGCTGCGGGAGGTACATAAGTGTTGACAGGTTCCGAGGCAGCCACTGGTGGGATATAAGTATTGACTGGCTCAGAAGCTGCTGGAGGGATGTAGGTATTGACTGGAGCCGAAGGAGCTGGAGCATGATAATCATAACCGCCCGACAACTCGGAGACATCAGCTATGACGGCGGCAACCAAAGCCAAGGCAACAAGGAAGAATTTCTAAAAGAAAACCGATTTTTGGTTAAATATCTATTTAATGAAATGATTACGAAAAGCTTACCATTTTTAGGTTTAATGTGTTTTGGATAACAACTGAAGTAATTGTGATGCTATTCCGCAAGAATACTTGAAGTTTTTATACAAATTTCAATTTTGTTTGAACATAACTCTAACTAAACTTACATCCATAGAAATTGTCTAAAAATATCAACATCATATTGTCAGTTTTCAATTTGTTTGAAATTGGATTAAAACAAAAATACCATTCACTTGATTTAAATAAAAAAACGAAACGAAACAAAACTGAAAATTGTTTGCCCCAATGCAGTGGCTTTGACAAGCATAAAATCCAAACGAGGAAATAAATATTTCTATGGCATTTTTAATGACCGCCGAATATTTTATTTATTTATTAAATTATAAAGTTGCCTATGGCTAACTTTATTTTAAAATTTATAGATATATTGATAACTAATAACAAAAGACATTAATCAATTCCTAGTTGTACCTCAAAAATGCATTTACCAAATTTAGTTATTAAAATAAATGTAAAACCGTTCTATAAATAGACAAAGTGCAACTCAAACATTATATCACAAATTCTTCAAGAGTCTTAGAAACAACAACCTAAAAACCGCATCTCAAAATGGTACGTCATAGAGGCAAACATTCAGCAAAGGATATTAAATCTCATTTGTCCCTTAATCCCCTAGAAATTCTTCATTGTTGCTTTGGCTTTGGTTGCCGCCGTCATGGCTGATGTCTCCGAATTATCGGGTGGTTATGACTATCATGCCCCAGCTCCTTCGGCTCCAGTCAACACCTATATTCCCCCCGCAGCTTCTGAGCCCGTCAACACTTATATTCCACCTGTAGCTGCTTCGGAGCCTGTCAACACCTACATTCCTCCCGTAGCCGCCTCTGAGCCAGTCAACACCTATATTCCTCCTGTAGCTGCTTCGGAACCTGTCAATACTTATATCCCTCCCGCAGCTGCCTCTGCCCCAGAGCCAACTGTTGAATTGGCTCAAGATGGTTATCGTTACAAGACCCACCGTCATCGTGTCTACCGTCAACGTTTCTAAAGCAAAGCTGATGTAGCTCTTTTGTTGTTGTTATAATAAATGTTATTAATATATGAACAGATTGTTGAAAAAAGTTAATCGGTCGATAAAGAATAATTTTTTGAAGATGTAAATGCTGCATAGAAAATACCATAGCGGAGGGCGAAGATTAAGACAATCTATTAATAACGTTATCTGATTCCTTCAGAAGGATAATATTAGAAATCGGATCTTTGCAATGATAACAATTAAAAAACAGAATAAAAAAGTCAAAAGTCGGGCGGAGCCGACTATATGATACCCTACACCACTATTCATGTTTAGTAGAGCTCCCGTAACAAATAATTTATTTGAAGTAGATCATACCACCTATCAACATTTGGCTTTAGAGCTGTTACAGTTTGGTTTCAGAGGAAACTAATATATGGGAGGCATATCCAATTTTGAATCGATTTTCACTAAATTTAACGGAGACATTTTTATCTTTTACACCTAATAACATTGCTATAGAGTAGATGATATCACTTCGAGAAGGATAATATTAAAAATATATATCGAAGCCCAGTTCCACCAACTGGAAACGTACGTCCAGAAATTCACTCAATTTCGGCTGATACGAACTATTATATGCACAATAAACCTGAAATCGGCTTAAGGATATATATGGGAGCTAAATCCAAATTTTAGTCGTTCTCGATAAAATTTGGCATGGGTATTTCCGAGCTTTATAAGATATCTTGTACAAAATATCATTGTTGTCGAATGCATATTACGGATTTGAGGGACTTAAACGCCAAATCGGATGAAACATATATATGGGAGCTATAGACCGATTTTCTCCGAATTAGGTCAAATAGACCAAAATTCAAGACTATTGGACTGATGTTGGCCATTTGGTGCACAAATAAACCGAAATCAGTTGAAGATATATATGGGACTTATATCCAAATCTGAACCGATCTTGATAAAATTTGGCAGAGGTATTTCTGGGCTGTATCTGATAACTGGTACCAAATATCATTCATGTGGAGTGCATATTAACACCCCGAATCGGATTAAACATATATATGGGAGATAAAGCTATATCTTAACCGATTTTCACCAAATTTGATATATTTACCTCTAGACTGAGTTTGGTCGGATGTGCCAAAAATCAGACCATTTGGGCTGATATTGGTCATTAAGTGCACAATAAACGTGAAATCGGTTTCAGATATATAAAAACTATATATAAATTTGAACCGATTCTCACAAATTTCAATAGGGTTCGTCCTTCTGCCAAAAATATTGTTACTTTTATGTATCAAATCGATATTCAGCAATATATGAATTAAATATTATCGACTTTTATTTTACGACCATGAAATTAACCTAAAGCTACATGGCTCCAGATATATCATTTGTTACGCCCAAAACATGCCTCATCGAAATAAAGGTTTGAAACCCTAGGTCTCTTTGGACCAAGTCCGTTTCAAGACATTTAAGTTGAACTATGGATGTCCATCCATTCGTCTGTCTGTATGGCTGGTGCGCACAATTACTCTCGAAGGGGGTATCCGATTTGATCCAAACCTGAAACTTAGATCGAGTTTGGAGATGGGCAATATAGGTTTACTCCTTTTGGTACCTCAGGTACCCTATAAAAGGTCAACATTTTAGAGAAAGTATTATCCGATTTTGTTCCAACAACATTTCGAATAGCCATGAATCTCATTAAACGCGAAATGAGAATTGTTTTTTTTTTAAATTTTCCACACCCCAATATTTCTACTTAAGCTAGATATGTTGTGAAGTTGGTGTCATCCCCACAAAGGGTTAAAATTTCGAATAATTATAACTCTTAAAAAATGTGGGCTAAGAGCCCGATTAACTTCATATTTCGAACATTTCAATATTTTCACTAACACTAGATTTGATATTAAGAACGGATTCCTTCTAGCACTTCCCATACAACGGATCAAAACTTGGAATAACCATTGGGAAAATCGGTTATCGTAGTAAAAACTTTTACATTCTTGCAGTTCTGGAACAGACTAAATGATTGAATAAAATAACTCTATGAGCCTAAAAAGAAAAATTTCAAAAAATAGGTAGAGATACATATGTCTTATGTTTATACCCTACACCACAAGGTGGTCAGGGTATTATGTCTTTGTGCATTTGTTTGTAACAGGCAAAAGGAAACTAGATAGACCCATAGTTCCTTTTAATGATCTGCATAGAATCGCTTTCTGAGTCGATTTATGGACTCTGTCTGTCTGTCTGTCTGTTCGTCCGTCTGTCCCTCCGTCCGTCTGTCGATGTATTTTTGTAAACAAAGTACAGTTCGCATTTATTGCCCTATCCAGATGAAATTTTGCGCAGATCATTTGTTTGGCCAAAGGGCGAACCCTAATCGGTCAAAATTTAGATCTAGCTCCCATATATATATTCGTCCGATTTGCCTTTTATTGTGCACCAAACGTGTAATATCAGCCCGAATATATGGAATTTTTCACATATAACCAAATTAGGCCTGAAAAAAAGTATGCCAAATTTGATCGAAAGCCCAGCCCAGAAATACATTTGCTAAATTTTATCGAGATCAGTTCAGATTTGGATATATCTCCCATATATAACTTCGTCCGATTTCTCTTTTATTGTGCACCAAACGTCTAAATGGGATGAAAATTGGCACTTACAACCGAATTGAGTCTAGAAGCTAGTATGTCAAATTTGGTGAAGATCGGTTCAGATATAGCTATAGCTCCCATATATACTGTTCATCCGATTTGTTATATTTGTTACACACAACCGTAATATGCACTCCGTAACAACGATGTTCAGGGAAATATATCAAATACAGCTCAGAAATACCTTTGCTAAATTTTATCGAGATCGGTTCAGATTTGGATATAGCCCCCATATATATTTTTATCCGATTTCAAATTAATTGTGCACCAAATGGGCAATACAAGTCCGAATTTAAAAGATACAAATTCTTCGACATATTTAGTCCTTTGAACCGTAAATAATAATTATAATCATAGCGTGTATGATTGAATTCTCACATAAAAACTTTTAATTATTATGCTCAGCTCCACTAAATTAACAAAGTGGTGTAGGGTATCATAAAGTCGGCCCGCCCGACTTTTAGACTTTTTTTACTTATTTTCTTTTGTTGCACGTACAAAGTTATTTTAAACTTTTTTTGAGAGAAGATGTGTTCCTTAAACTTTAATTTTTTCACATTTTATTGCAGTTTAATAGATGCGCAAACTATTTTGCTCGCGAAATAATTCGTTTCCGTTTGTTTTAATTTTTTTCTGTGGCCCATCTTGAAGGTTTTTAAGGTAACTCCAGGATTTGGGTGTTTTAATAATATTTGTAAGGCGTATAAATCGAATAGGCTATTATGTGTGCAAGCAACGGTAATGATCCTAAATCATTTTCCACATTTTTTTGAAAATTATTTTCCATGGGATTCTTAAAATAAATTTCCCGAATGTAGTTTCAGTTTTTTGTTTTCCCACAGCTTTTGTTTTCAAATCAAACAAAAAATAATTTTCTTTTAGATTCTATTATTTATTTTTATTCTTAATTTACTTAAAAAAGTAAGTAAATGAATCTCAACTAAAACGTTTCCCAGTTTAGAAACGTTTGCGGATCACACGACGACGGACAGTTTTGTAACGGTAGCCATCATCGCCGAAAGAGGCAGAGGCAACGGGAGCAGAAGCGGCTGGAGCCAAATAGCTGTTAGAGGGAGCAGAGGCAGCTGGAGCCAAATAGCTGTTAGAGGGAACGGAGGCGGCGGTAGAGTAGCTTTCGCTGTAGGCTGGAGCAGGGGCGTGGTATACTGGGGCTGGGGCAGAGGCAGCTGGGGGAATGTAAGTGTTGACTGGGGCAGTAGCAGCTGGGGCGTGGTATACGGGAGCTGGAGCTGGGGCATGGTATACTGGAGCAGGGGCAGAGGCAGCTGGAGGAATGTAGGTGTTGACAGGGGCGGAAGGAGCTGGGGCGTGGTACTCTGGCACGGGCACAGAGGCAGCTGGGGGAATGTAAGTGTTTACGGGAGCGGAAGGAGCTGGAGCATGGTAGTCATAGCCAGAAGACAATTCAGAGACGTCAGCCATAACACCGGCGACCAAAGCCAAAGTCAAGATGAAGAATTTCTAAAATCCACAAAAAACCCAACATTAGTTTTCATTCAAACCCTAAAACACCTACTCTTTTGGATAGCTTACCATTTTGATAGATTTTGTTTTGTTTGTTTCTTTGCTCCTCTTAGAACTGCAGATGAAACTGTTGTGATGAACTACGCCTTGCATTGACTATTTATATGGACGAAATTCTACCACTTTTTTTTGGAACCAGAAATTCTAGGTTGACCGAAACGCACCATAATCCGATGCTCATGTTATAGTTTATGTTTATGCATGCATAATATTGAAGATTTATGCTTGTTTCGAAATTTCATGTGTGTCTGTGTGCGTGTGTGCCGAATGTTATGCATTCTTATGCTTTTAATGCTTGTGGGCAGGCAATCAGGGCGTCGTAGCCGCCTAGTCTGGTGAAATGCTAAATTTATTAATTAATGTTTCAATAAGAAGCTGTTATGGTGACATTTATTCTAAATTTAATTATTCTACTTTCTATGTTTGGTGCGAATTCATTTAGTTTTAGTTTAATAACTGCGGAGTTTTTCATATTTGGGGTGTTTTAGTTTTTGAAAATTTTAATTTGATTATCAAATTGCAATTAAATTTTCGAATATTTTAGTTAATTCAAAACGGTTAGAAATAAAGAGCATATTAGGGGATTTTCTTCAACATGCTAAATAAGAAATAGTGGATGACATTAAAATTAAAAACAAATAAAATTTCTTTTCAAATGATATTGAATTTAGCCCAATTTTTAGATCAGACTTCAAAAATTCCAAGGCCCAAAAATATGCAGTGGGTGCGTCTATGTTCAACATTTTTCATTTTCATTTGAATGAAAAAATGTGGTTACATTGATGGGTGTTGAAAGGGGTTTTTTAAAAAGACAAAACAAAAAAAAAAACATGTAATGCCTCATTGCAGCCCAAATTAAAAAATAAATGTTCAAAATACGTTCAAATCAAATAATTGGACAATTCTGTAAATTGTTACAAAACTTTAGATAAAGATGTTAATTTTTAAACTTGTAAATTTAAATCAAAAACAAGTTAAAAAGCATCAGTCGGTGTTTCCTACAGATGCCAAAGTTCCATTATTTAAATATATTTTTACTTGTGTTATGACTATTCAAATTGTTGACCCTCTATGGAGTAGGTTCCGATATTGCCCATTTCGTATCGGACCTAAATAAATGTGATATAAATATTATGACGTGCCATGTTTGGACTATCCTTCAATTTATATGAGATTTGTGACAATTTTAGAAAATTTAAAAATGGACAGATATGGTCGACTGAAGTATTCAATTTTCATACTTCATTTAATAGATAAAAATATTGGTGTGGTCCAAGTTTCAAGAAATTTGAACATTTATATCCAATTTTATGACAGGATGTATGAAATAATAAGGGAACCGGATGCTAATTTCGGATTTTATAGTCATTTTGACCATTTTGTGGGAGAGGTACCAGAAGAAATGATCCTATCTCTACCATCTTTATAACAGATCTTGTGTTGGTAGAAATATTGAGATGTGCAACGTCTAAATGGAATCGGATATTAATATCGCGTTTTATGAGCTTCATAGATATTTAAACTTTTGACCCTTTTGAGGGAGGTACCAGAAGGAGTAGACCGATATATCTTATCTTCAAAAAAGATCTTGTGTTAGTAGAAATATTGAGATGTACAGGGTGAAATAAAAAAAAAAAAATGCAACAAAGTCAAAAGCCATAATTTTTACATTCGTTTTTTAAATATTATTGAATGAAAGCAAAAATGTCGGAAATAGCATCAAATTTTAGAAAAAGTTTAGATTTGTTCGAATTTGTCACCTATGGCACAAATTATGGCCTTCAAACGGCCAAATAAAACCGTCACACGCTGTCCGAATGTTGCTCTGCGATATTTTGGCCCATTTCCGGCGAAGCGCTTGCTTGAGGTGATCGACAAATACTCCGGAGATTTTGGTGGCCATTGTGCGCTAGAAATGAGGCGATGAACATCATTTTGTAACAATTCTTGTGTTTTGTAACGTTCTTCTGTTGGAATGTCCAAGGTCTGCGGCCAAAATGTTTGCGTGCCTAAGGCTTTAATACAGCCTCCAGAATATTTTCGCAATAATATTTGGCATTTATTCTGTTGCCACGGTCGATTAATATGAGCGGAGAGCGACCATCGGCTGTTATGGCGGCCCACACCATCACCATGGCCGGCGTTTGAGTGCACATTGGTGCACATTGTGAGCTGATCTCTTTGGCAAGTAAACATCATCATTTGGTTTGTTTTCTCATCGGGGACCACCAAACCAAATTCGGCAGTTCATCACTTTCGGCCTAGCGAAGCAACTCTTTAGCTCTTTTGAGTCTATTTTGTTTCTGTTGGGGTGTAAGTTATTGCACTTTTTGGAATTTCAATGGCTTTACCCCGAACCCATTTTTCAATATTTGCCGAATGGAATATGCGATATGTTTAGCTAACGAGCCATTTTTCGGCCACTGCGAAGCGAGTTTCGATCAAGGCGCTTCTTTACTTTTCGAACCATATCTGCTGATGTTGCTGTTTTCTTCCGTCCACTTCCTTGAAGTCGGGCTACGCTACCAATATCACGGTAACGAGCGATGGTACGAGACACAAAAGATTTGTTCATTCATTTGGTTGAAGTTTTTTCAACTCACCCTGTATAGTAGCATTTAGTTCTTTTTGTATAGTACGCATTTTCAAAGCAATCTCCATGTATCAATCTCAAATACCAACAAATATCACATTTCAGGATTTCATCTTCAAGTCTAGCTCCTTCTCTCAACCTCAGACACCAACAGTTATATGTTTATGAAATTGCAGGTGCTCAACTCTTTGTCTTTTACCAATACCAAAAATTGATACTATTAGGTACTTTTTTACAATTTCTAAAACCACCTCCATATCTCAATTTCAGATACCTATATCGACATTTGAGCATTCCAGCTCAATTCTATCAGCTAATATTCAATTTAGTACCATTTAGTATTTTTCGTAGAAATATGGGACGCATTTCCAAACCTCTACCAAATCTCAAACACATATAGTGTAGTGTAGTAGTCTAAATATCAAATTTCGGAACATTATCTCTAATCCTTTACCCAATACCAAATATAGTACCATTCAGTGCTTTCTGTACAATTATAGTGCATACTTACGAAACCACCTCCATATGTCCAAGCTTACACGAAAAGCGACCCTAATATCAAATTTCTGATTACAAGCTCTATCTGTTCAAATAATATCAAATTCTACCAAATATAGTACTATTTTGTACTTTTCGTACACTTCTAGTACCAAAGACATAAAAGTGTAAAGATGGGACAAGACAGAGTCAAGATATGGCAGCCCTGTGAAAATACCTCTGTTGTTATGATATCGTAACAACATAGTTAGCAATGTTAAGCGATTAAAACCGCTTAGGCAATATGCAATTAACTGGGAAAGTCTATGGAGTAAAATTTCGAAACCCAATTTTTGGATTTTTCAAAATTTTGTTTGTCTTATATTTCTATAAATGGGTTTTTTATATTAACATGGTCCTGTCATGAGCTGTTATCTGGATAGTATAGACACAAACCATTTGCTCAAAATGCATTTTGTCTAGTCTTTACCATTTTATGTCTTTGGTAGTACGCATTTCTACGACTAGGGATCCCAATACAAAGTTTCAAAATTTCAGCTTCATTTGTTCACCGTAAACCAAACAGTTACAAATTTAGTACCATTTAGTACAGTTCGTACAATTAGCACACATTTACAAAACCACATAATACCAAATTGTACCATTTGAAAAGTTTTGTACAATTTAAGAACTTTTCTTAACCTTAAAGTTCGAATTTTCAAAAACCCTTTGGTACAACTGTCCTGTTCCATCAATGACTCTCAATGCCGTAACAATTGCAAACCCTTTTCAATTATTTTTCTGACTCAGTAACTTCACATCAACATTTTATTAAGTCCATGCTAATTCGCTTTTAATATGTATAAAATTTAAAAGTTGTTTCATTCGATCGCAGCATAAATTTGTTTTGAGCTACATAACTCAAACAATTTGGGAACTTCTGACTATCAAAATGACATTAGCATATAAAGCAGTTTAACCAGGGCAATAAAACTATGATGATAATTGAATTCATTAAATATTTGTTGCCAACGATGACAATGGTGGGCATCAGCATTGTATTCTTGACAACCATTAAATTCCTAGGCATTGTTTTCGGGGTATTCAAGTATTTCTGGATGAAGTAATTTATTTAAATACTAAATTCATTCAATAACATTAATAACATATTGAAAAAAAATCGATTATAAGTCTGGAGGAAGTAGTTGTAGAGATAGGTCCGGAAAGAGCTTTTTTATTTCATTTTAATTGTGAAATTATTTAAGGGTGTTAATGCGGTGGGAAATTATTAGTATTTACTCTAAACATGTTATATATTTGCTAGATTTGTTATTCTATTTTAAATATATAAATTTCAATAAAATAGAAGAACATTGACGTAGAAACAGATTTCACTTAACAATAACACAAAAATGCAGTTAAAGGCAATAGTTAAGCGTGGGCTTTTGAGTCCAAACAGAACATACACTAAGTTTTAATTCAGGATTAAAAAGTGGAGATGAAAATGAAATAATTTAATGATTAAATGATGGGTGCTGTTATAGTCTATGTATTTCGAAAAAAATTGCAAAGATTTTTTCTAGGAAGTTTGAAAAATTGATGCCACATTTTACTATCACTGTCGGAAACGCCATAAAATTTGTAACATATATCAACACAAAATCATAAATTCACATTAGTGCCAATTATGAGCTTCGTCATGCGAAGAGGAAACTTAAAGTTTTGTTCCAGCTCAATAGTTTGTAACACATCGAAATTTTGGAGCTAAGTTCATAATAGTATGGATAATATATAGTATTGATTGTATACAGGGTGAGATAAAAAAAAACTGCAACAAGGTCAAACGCCATAATTTTTACATTTTTTTTTGAATGAAAGCAAAAAATTTCGGAAATAGCATCAAATTTTAGAATAAGTTTAGATTTGTTCGAAATGGTCACCTTTGGCACGCATTATGGCCTTCAAATGGCCAATGACACTTTGGTATTTTTTAGTGCCAACCTTGCTCCAAAGGATTGGTATCCGGAGATTTTGGTGGCCATTGTGCGCTGGAAATGAAGCGAGGAACCTCATTTTGTAACCATTCTTGGGTGGAGCGTGCTGAGTGCGATGGTGTTGAGTCCTGTTGGAATGACCAAGGTCTGCGGTCAAAATGTTTGCGTGCCCAAGGCTTTAATACACCCTCCAGAATGTATTCGCGATAATATTCGGCACTACACCATCACAATGGCCGGCCCTTAAGTTATGGTGGCCAACCGAAGGTGCACATTTTCAGCTGACCTCTTTGGCAAGTAAACACGATCATTTTGTTTGTTTACAAACTGCTGGACAACCAATGTTTTCTCATCGGAGACCACCAAACCAAATTCGGCAGTTCACCACTTTTGGCCAAGCGAAGCAACATTTTGGCTCTTTTGAGTCTATTTTCTTTCTGTAGCGGTGTAAGTTCTTGCACTTTTTGGAATTTGGAAAGTAATTGCTCATTTTTCAATATTTGCCGAATGGAATATTACGATATGCTCAGCTCACGAGCCATTTTTCGGCCACTGCAACGCGGGTTTCGATCAAGTCGCTTCATTTACTTTTCGAACCATTTCTGCTGATGTTGCTGTTTTCTTCCGTCCACTTCCTTGACGCCTGGCTATGGTATGAGACCCAAAAGATTTATTCACATCTAAATGCTGGAGTGCTCTAACGATAGCCACTTGTGATTTTCCAGCCAAATATAAATAAATCACACTATCACCCTTGAATTCCATTACGAATAACTTTTTTTCTCGAAAATTCTCACCAAAATGCTTTTGTATGCTTGTAAACAATATAATGAGTTGTCACTGGAATAATTTTAACAGCTATCGGACGAGTGGCTTAGAAATGACAGCAGTCTGAAGTTGGTTGCAGTTTTTTCATTGGATTGGTGCAGTCCAAGTCTATATATTTCGAAAAAAAATATTTCAAAGATTTTTTGTAGGAAGTTTGAAAATTTGATGTCAAATTTTGATATTACTCTCGGAAACGCAATTAAATCCACATTTGTACACAATATATCAACACAAGATCATAAATTCATATCATTGCCAAAATCAAGAAATTTATGTTTGGGCCTTGGATTATTAATTATAAGCTTCGTTATGCGGAGAGGAAATTTAATGTTTTGTTCCAGCCCAATGGTTTGTGACAGATTGACATTTTGGAGCTAAGTTCATTTTTATGCCCTCCACCATACATAGTATGGAGGGTATATTAAGTTCGTCATTCCGTTTGTAACTCATCCAAAGAATAATTTAAGACCTAACAAAGAATATATATTTTTGATCAGCGTAAAATTCTTAGACGATTTACCCATGTCCGCCCGTCTGTTGTAATCACCTTAGAGTCACAACGAATTAAGATAGGAAGCGAAAATTTTGCACAGATCAGTCTTTTGTCTGCAGGCAGTTAAAGTTCGAAGATGATCCACGATATCATATAGCCTCTATATAACTGTATCCCCCTGATAAGCCACATTTTTCAATGGAATTATCTGAAATTCTACACAAGGAGTTCTTTGTGAATGCTTTACTCTCGGAAGAGAATTGTCTAACGATTCCTCCCAATTTTCGGTATTTTGATAATTTTAGATGCATTTTCACCGGAATTGTTTCATAGTATTTCAAGCTCGTAATGAGTACTACAACCTGTGACGGAAAATTGTTGATTTTCATTTTAGCGGTATTTTTCGATAAAATTTTTTTTTAAAATTTTCAAGTTCCTTTAAAATAGCGGAGGCCCGGGCCGAACTTAGTTGCTTTTTACTTCTTATACCCTCAGCCATATGGCTACAGATCGTATATATCATTTGATATGGCCAAAACGTGCCTAGTCGAAATAACGGTTTTAGACCCTAGGTCTCTTTGGACCAAATCCGTTCGTACGTCTATCTCTCTGATGTCTTGCTGGCTAGTGCACACGATAACTCTCGAAGGGAGTATCCGATTTGGTCCAAATAGTGTTACATCGTAACATTATTTCCAAACATAGATCGAGTTTGCAGATGTGTAATATTAGTCCACTTCTTCTGGTACCTCCCCCTCAAAAGGTCGAATTTTTCAAATAATATATATTCTGCACAGAAAGAGAAAAGAGTAATCCGATTTTTCTCCATGATTGCAAATATTTCCATCAGTTCTAGGTGAGGTGCGAAAATGGACAATATCGGTCCACTCCATCAATTACCTCCCCAACAAAGGGTAAAAACTTTGAATTTTGACCGATTGTCTTCAAATTGCACACATCACAATATTTTTATTAAGACAAGGTCTGATGTGAAGATGGTAGAAATCGGCTCATTCCTTCTGGTACCTCCCCCAAAAAGGGTCAAAATTTTCAATATCTATAAAGCTCATAAGACTCGATATCCACTACTTTTATGTTTTGATAATGTTTTCCATTTAATTTTACTCAAAATTTGACATTACAAAATGAAAACGAATTATCAAGGGTCTTGGACATATTTTCCAATCGATTTGACTGAAAATTAGTATTTAGGTGTTTTGCTTTTCTCACCCAATACCAACAACCCTATACAGGGTGAAATAAAAAAACTGCAACAAAGCCATATACCATAAATAATACTTTTTTAATTTTATTGAATGAATGCAAAAAAATGTAGGAAATAGCATCAAATTTTAGAATGAGTTTAGATTTGTTCGAACTGATCACCTTTGGCACGAATTATGGCCTTCAAACGGCCAATCAAACCGTCACACGCTGCCCGAAAGTTACTCTGCGGTATTTTGTCCATTCCCGGCGAAGCGCTTGCTTAAGGTGATCGACACTTTGGTATTTTTTAGTGCCAACCTTGCTTTCCAAAATACTCCAGACACAATAGTCCAACGGATTGGTATCCGGAGATTTTGGTGGCCATTGTGCGCTGGAAATGAAGCGACTAAACATTCTTGGGTGGCGCATGTTGAGTACGATGGTGTTGAGTCCTGTTGGAATGTCCAAGGTCTGCGGCCAAAATGTTTGCGTGCCCTCCAGAATATATTCGCGTTAATATTCGGCGGAGAGCGACCATCGTCTGTTATGGCGATCCATACCATCACCATGGCAGGCCCTTGAGTTCTGGTGGCCAACTGAAGGTGCACATTTTCAGCTGACCTTTTTGACAAGTAAACACGATCATTTTGTTTGTTTACAAACTGCTGGACAACGAATATTTTCTCATCGGAGAAAACCGAAGAAAAAATTCGGCAGTTCGCCACTTTCGGCCAAGCGAAGCGACTCTTTACCTCTTTTGAGTCTATTTTCTTTCTGTAGCGGTGTAAGTTCTTACACTTTTTTTATTAATTTGCATGGCTTTACCCCGAGCTTGTTTTTTAATATTTGCCGAATTGAATATTGCAATATGTTCAGCTTACGAGCCATTTTTCGGCCACTGCGACGCAGGTTTCGATCAAGTCGCTTCTTTACTTTTCGAATCATTTCTGCTGATGTTGCTGTTTTCTTCCGTCCACTTCCTTGACGTTGGGCTACGCTACCAATATCACGATAACGAGCGATGGTACGAGGCACAAAAAATTTATTCACATTTAAATGCTGGAGTGCCTTAACGATAGCCACTTGTGGTTTTCCAGCCAAATATAAAGAAATCACACTATCACGATTGAATTCCATAACGAATAACTACTTTCTTGAAATTTCTCACCAAATGCTCTTGGAATAATTTTAACAGCTGTCAGACAAGTGTCTTGGAAATTTTATAATCTGCTGGATTTTGTGTTGAACGAATCGGCAGTATTTTGCTATGCAGCTGCCAAATATATTAAATTGGTGGTATACCACTAAGTGAATGAGAATTATATCTCAAGGTTGAGTTTAATGATAATTGGTGGATCATAGAAGTTGCTATTTTTTAACTCCAGGAGATTTTCAAAGTAAATGGAAAACCATCATAGAACATGTAGACAATTCATCAAAGCATTGGATTTTCTTGATCTCCAGGAACAATTAAAAAATAAAACAGGATCAAATAATTATTTTTTAAAATTTTGTTTTATTAAAATACTTTCAAACATGTCTTTGGAAACGAAACAATAAAAAAATTTAACAAATCGTTACAAGATTTAGACACGTTGGCGGAAGACGCGACGACGGACAGTCTTGTAACGGTAACCATCATTGCCGAAATCAGCACCAGCAGAAGCACCACCGAATGAACCGGAAGAAGCACCACCGAAGGAACCAGCAGAAGCACCACCGAAGGAACCAGCAGAAGCACCACCGAAGGAACCAGCAGAGGCACCACCGAAGGAACCAGCAGAAGCACCACCGAAAGCACCAGCAGAAGCACCACCAAAGCTAGCACCGGAAGAGGGAGGAATGTAAGTGTTGGCTGGGGCAGCTGGGGGAGCATAGTTTTGGACTGGAGCTGGGGCAGGGGCAGCGGGAGGAGCATAGGTTTGGACTGGAGCAGGGGCAGAAGCTGCTGGGGGAATGTAGGTGTTGACTGGAGCAGCTGGGGGAGAATAATGTTGGACTGGAGCTGGGGCAGGGGCAGCAGGAGGAGCATAAGTTTGTACTGGAGCAGGGGCAGAAGCAGCTGGGGGAATGTAACTGTTAGCAGGTGCGCTAGCAGCGAAGCTGCCACCTCCTACAGCACCACCAAAGCTGGCACCACCAGAGGCAAAGCTGCCACCGGAGGAAAAGCTACCACCGGAAGCAAAGCTACCACCACTAGCAGCAGGGGCATTGTAGTCATAACCCAATTCGGATACATCAGCCATAACTCCGGCCACCAAAGCCAAGGACAAAATAAAGATTTTCTAGGGTAAAGACAGAAAAATACATTTGTTCAAATCGTTCGTCCATTTTCTTCTCTTTTTTGCCAAATCTTACCATTTTTGCTTTTAGTTTTTTGAGATTTAGTTCCTAACCAGAGAACAGCTGAAGAAGTTGTGATACCTTCCATTAACGATTTTCATATTTATACTAAAAAATTCAAAATTGTTGCGAATCGATTTGTTAAGAACTCAACATCTCGATGAAATACAAATGTACATATATTAACGGAAGTTGTCGCTTAGTTTTGAGTTTTGTTGTTGTTGGTTTTTTTTTTTTTTTTGTTTTAAACCAAATTTTTATTTGACCTGGCGGGCTAATGTTTCAATGTAAAATTTATGTTCATGTATATTTATTTATGTATCTTCCTCTTTGCCATAATTATTATCACGCTTTTGTTTTGGCACATCTTTCTTTGGGCGAACGAACGAACGACAGATCGATCGTCAACTTGCCAGACTTCAGCGGGCAGTAGCAGGGTCATTAACATGAGAGGTGTTTTAATTAAACCTAATCTTAGCTATTCCCAAAACTATACGACAATCGGCCAGAGAGACAGATAAAACGCCAAAATGCGAATAATGAAATGTATATCATCGGATCGAATCGATTTTGGCCAATTTAAATGTGTAAACATCAAATTTATTTCAAATAAAATCAAATGAAAAATTTAAAAAGAGTAGATTGCAAAAATAGTTATTAGGCTTTTCAATATTGAAGCCTACACCAAAAGTGATGGGGTAGGGGGTGTATAGTCGACTTTGTTCCAAAAATGTTGTAATGTCCATATGTATATACTTTACCTTTTCTCTACATCAGCCTGTCTGTTAACCCTCGTTTTCCTTTTGGACCAGTTTTTATACCCTCAGTCATATGGCCACAGAGAGTATCTTTTGATACGACCAAAACGTGCCTCATCGAAATAACGATTTTAGACCCTAGGTCTCTTTGGACCAAATACGTTTCAGGACATTTGGAGTCGATCTAGCGATGTCGGTACGTCCGTCTGTCTGCCTGGCCGATTTGGTCCAAATTTGGTGCATCGTAACATTATTATTAAACTTACATCGCTTCCGGAGATCGGCAATATCGGTCCACTCCTTCTGATACCTCTTCCACAAAAGATAGAAAATTAAAAAAAAAAAATCATAAAAAAGCTAACTTTGAATACCCTCCACCATTGGAACGAATTTGGCAATACTAAAAATAAAATCCGTTAAAAATTCTGTTAAAATCTTAAAAATACCGAGTATAGCCGTATAATAGGGTCTATACGGCGACGTAGACCTGCATAGGCAATTCATAAGCTATTACAATATTCAAATGCGAAACTCGAAAAAAAAATCTGTTTATAATGTAGCTAAAATCATAAAAATACCGAATATAGGGAGGTGCCATGGGGGTTATAAAACGTGTATCTGCACAGACAATTTTGTGGTATAGGCTGTAGTATCCATTACGAACTTCAAATACAAAATTTGAAATAATTCCGGTAAATAATGTAGCTAAAATCATCAAAATACCGAATATCGGGGGTACCCTTATATGGGGGCTATACAAAGACGTTGATCTAAATTGCCCATTTTCTGTCTTAGCCCGTAGTATCCATTACGAACTTCAAATGCGAAATTTGAAACAATTCCGGTGAATAATGTCGCTTAAATCATCAAAATACCGAATATCGGGAGGTACCGTTATATGGGGGCTACACGAAGACGTGGACCTGCACAGACAATCTCCTGTCATAGGCTGCAGCACCCATTACGAACATCAAATACTAAATTTCAAAGAATTCTGATGAATATTGTCGCTAAAATCATCGAAATGCCGAATATCGGGAGGTACCGTTATATGGGGGCTATAACAAAACGTGGACCTACATGGCCGATTTTCAATACCAAAAGTCCGGTAGACATAATATACATTTGAGTAAAATTTTATCAATTTTCTTCAATTCGTTCGGAAGCTAGAATTATTTCCACAGAGGGACAGACGGACGGACACCACTAAATCGACATAGAATTTTATGCTGATCAAGAATATATATACTTTTTGGGGTCTAAAATGTATATTTCGAGGTGTTACAAACGGAATGACAAACTTAATATACCCTCCATACTATGGTGGAGGGTATAAAAAGTAAGCAAAGGCTATACTCGTGCGACCATGTGATACCCTACAACACTGCAATATGTTAGAAGCCTCCCCATGTCCATTTTGGAAGATTTCGCTTTTGAAATTATGACACATTGCCCAGATATTACCCTTATTACCCTTATTTTTGGTTCATTTGAACCCCAAAATATTTTGCGATCATCTCCAAAAGCAAGAGGCCCTCTGTATCTCCAAATTTAGACTCCTATCCATTATTTGCTTATCTACGATATTTGGCTATATTCGTCAACAAAATCAGCATGAAAGAGCCAGAAGTTCGCCTTTGTATGTATTTTCGTGAGGATCGGATGATAATTGCTATCTGCACTGGGTGAGATAAAACAAAAAACTGCCAGAAAGTCAAACGCCATAATTTTTAAGTTTTTTTATTTTCATTTTATTGAATGAAAGCAAACAAAATTCGGAAATAGCATCAAATTTTAGGATAAGTTAAGATTTGTTCGAAATGGTCACCTTCGGCACGAATTATAGCCTTAAAACGGCCAATGAAACCGTCACATGCTGCCCGAATGTTGCCCTGCGGTATTTTGGCCCATTCGCGGTGAAGCGCTTGCTTAAGGTGATCGACACTTTGGTATTTTTTAGTACCAACCTTGCTTTCCAAAATACTCCAGACACAATAGTCCAACGGATTGGTATCCGGTGATTTTGGTGGCCACTGTGTTTGTTTACAAACTGCTGGACAACGAATGTTTTCTCATCGGAGAAAACCAAATTCGGCACTTCACCACTTTCGGCCAAGCGAAGCAACAACTTTAGCTCTTTCTTACACTTCTTACACTTTTGGAATTTCAATGGATTTACCCCGAGCTCATTTTTCAATATTTGCCGAATGGAATATTGCGATATGTCCAGCTCACGAGCCATTTTTCGGCCACTGCGACGCGGGCTTCGATCAAGTGGCTTCTTTACTTTTCGAACCATTTCTGCTATTGTTGCTGTTTTCTTCTGTCCTATTCCTTGACGTCGGGCTACGCTACCAGCATCACGGTACGAGAAACAAAATATTTATTCACATTTAAATGTTGGAGTGATCTAACGAAATATAAAGAAATAACACCATCACGCTTCAGTCCCTGAACATGTTTTGATCATCTCCCCCAACAATAGGTTTATATTCTGATCTGAAATATTGAAATTAATTTATTTTAAAAATAATTTGTTATTTCCAGATTTCGAGTGAATGGACCACAGATACATCGCAAAATGGGTTTGGCACAATATCCTCCCGGTCCCATTGGTTCGCCAGACGACCCTTTGGCCGATCCATTTGATGATCCCTCGTACAGCTTCAGTTTTCGAACACCGGATCAATCGCGCTCTGAAGACAATGATGCCACGGGACGAGTGAGAGGTAAGAGAGAGAATCTTAAAAACTTATCCTAATCTAACGTGTTGTATTTTTTGACAGGACTCTATTCATTTCTCGATGATGAGGGAGAACGTCACAGTGTCCGTTATGCTGCCGGTGCGGGAACAGGTTTTGAGGTGTCAAATGCTGTGCCAGATAATCCAGCCAGTGTTGGTTACACAAGTCCTTTGTACAAGGCACCACCCGGAACGAGAGGGAAAATGTCCGTACAAAGGGGTCCTGATGGAACATATAAGTTAATTGCTGCCGGCCCAGATCATAGACGTGCCGAAAGTAGGACACCAGATGGAGTGGTTAGAGGCACCTATTCCTTTCTCGATGACAAGGGTATTCAAAGAACTGTGGAATATATTGCCGGAGCGGGAATTGGTTATAGGGTGGTGAAGAATCGCATTGGACCCACCTCACATATCAATCCTTCTGTATCAGATTTTCGTCTAAGCGATACAAGCTTTAGGTTGGCCAATGATTTTGGAACTGGTGCCGGGGCAGGTGGTGGAGGAGGCGGCACTGGCAGTAGTTCGGGATCAGGTGGTGGTCGTGTAAGAGGTGGAAATAACCGTGTCACGGGCGGTGGAGGAGGGGGAGGTGGGGATGAAGATAGTGAAATGGAATATGTCTCGTCGGATAGTCGTCCAATCACAACCTCTTCTTCGGATGCGGATAATGACGACAATGAAATAAGCCTTGGAGATGATAGCGATTTTGATGAGGACAATGGCAAAAATGATCGCTCAAATCCAAAAACTAAAACAGATCGCATGGGTACCATCAATCGTGGTAGAGGAGGCACAAGAAATCGTGGAAACACAAATCTACGTGAAGATGATCTACTCGATCGAGAACCAATGTCAGAACGAGATTCCCCTAAAATTCCCTCGAGACCGGGAAGTAGAGTTCCCGGCAATCGTAATAGTCTGAACAATGATGCAAGAGAAAGTAATCGCCGAAATCGTCCTCCCTCCAGAAATGGTGGAGGTGCTGGTGGAAGAGGAGGAGGGGGAGGGGGAAGTGGAGGAGGAAGCATTTCTTCGACAAGCAGCAATGGTTATGAATATAATCCTCCATCCAAAGGATCTTCATCGCGAAATAACTATAATCCCAATGATGATGATATTGGCACAGCCCTGCCACCTTTGATAACGGCGAATCGTAAAATTCTAGAAATCGATAGAGATCGTGAATGGGTGGAGCATCATCGTGATTCAACGGTCATTAAAAATGTTGGAAAATGGTATATTGGCTTGCCACCGGGCCAGAGTGTTCGGGCCCATGTTCAAAATATTGACATATTACCATTGGGTGGTCGTCGGGTGCCCTCGCCATCGGAAGCCTTGCGCCAGGATGAATTGGCCGATATGACAGCCTCGTATGAGCATCATGACAGATCTCCCTATAGCAGTTAGTTTTTAAGACATACATACACAAATAAATATACTTATTTATGCCGTTAGGTTAAGCGAAGATGGCGTGCGCATCAATGCTAGCTTTAGTTTTATAAGTTGAGACATTCACACATACATACATACATTTTAGTAAACAAATGTAATTTTTTTTTTGGTATTCTTTCCCCCAATTGGCAATGATACTTCTTTAATAAAGTTACACCAACAACAACAATAAACGAATAACTGCCGTTCTTTTGTTCTTGAAATGTTATATTTGTGTAAATTGTGAGAAAATGCGGTATTTGTTCGGTTTTTGGCTATGAGAAGTTATATTGCTCTTTAATGTTATTTTTGGCCATGAATTTGATGTTTGTCAAATTGTCGATTTAACGGCACCATGAACAGGGTCATTGCGGCTGCAGTGTTGGGTTGGGTAAATTTGGGCTCATTATTTTAGACAAATGAACTTTACGTCTAGCTTTTAATTACATTGTATTATAGCCTTGAAATCCATCTAAAATTGGAGACGTTTTCAATTAAGAACATGTCTAAATTTAATGTTTAAATAAAAGAAGGGAAGAAGTTCGTTTTTTGATTGATTTAACAATGCTATTTTCATTGAGTTAAACAAACCCTTGCCATACAAATTTTTGGTGACATCTGTTGATAAAAAAAAATGAATTGGTCTCTACTTTTACAGATAGATAACGAAGTATTTCACAAAGACGCCTGAAAGTATGCCACACTTTTTGAATTTTCAAAGTAAGTTTAGTTGGCAACATGAATGAATGAATATATTTTCATAAGAGAATTAAAAATATGTAAGTGTGTTAACAGACGGGGAAATCTACATAGGAAGTCGAATGGGATAAATGTAACTTTTTATGTGGTCTTCCCTTCGCCATAAAAACTTCCAAGTGTGTGGGATTAGCAATAATCAAAGTTTGTAATGTTAACGTCAATCAAAGAACTAAAATATAAAAACACTGGACAAAATACATTTTTAGTTATAAGTGACATTAAAATCGACTTATATTTAATTTTTGAAAAATTTCCCGAAAAATGTAGTTCCTAACCTTGAGTTCGAAGATATTTTGTTTCTTGAAACAATTTCATTATTCTTTTCAAAAATGAAAAAGCTTTAATTGAATAAGTCAAGACACATATCAAATATGAATTATTTTATCATTTTCCAAGTATAACCATTGGAAATTGTGACCAGAAGGGGTTGGCAGATATATATCATGTTAAATTTGAAGAGAGTTGGATGTATATTTCGCTTTTATTAAGCGTTTTGTTTTTCAAAATCTTGAAACCTATGTGGGGGAGGTACCAGAAGGAGTGGGCCGATATATTCCATCTTCACACCAGACCTTGGGTTAATAAAAATAATGGGATGTGCGTAATTTGCGGACGATCGGGCTCTAACATCACATTTATAAGAGTTATAATTATTTAAATGTTTGACCCTTTGTGGGGGAGGTACTGGATGCCCTGGGCCGATGTTGTCCATTTTTGCACCTGACCCAGCACTGACGCAAATATTAGGATTCGAAAAGTTGGAGCAAAATCGGATTATTCTTTCTCTTTCTATTCAATAAATTATTTTCTTTGAAAATTTTGACATTTTGTATGGGAGTGAAGCGATATTGCCCATCTCCGAACTCGATCTAAGTTTGACTATAATATTACGATGTACCAATTTTTTATCAAATCGGATACTCCCTTCGAGAGTTATCGTGCGCATCAACCATACAGACAGACGGACGGACGGACATCGTTCGATCGACTCCAAATGTCCTGAAACGGATTTGGTCCAAAGAGACCTAGGGTCTAAAACCGTTATTATGATGGGGCAAGTTTTGGCCGTAATAAATGATATATACCTTCTGTGGTCATATGGCTGAGGGTATAATAACAAGTTAGCAAAGGCTATATTCGTGCGGGGCCGTCCATGTAATACCCTACAACACTACAACACATAGTATTACGGGGTGTACAAATTTAGAAAATTTACAATTCAAAATTGTAAGTGAAATTGAAAAAATCGCATGCGATAAAAAAATAAGACAAAAGAAAAAAAGTTAACAAAAAATATTCACTTTTTTATTGTCCCATTTTTAAGCGATTTTCTTAGATTTTATCCTTTTCTGAATTGATGAGAATTGTGAAAATCAGACCGGCGGTTCTTAACTTATGAGAAGAATAACTAAGATATATTTCTTTTATATATATATTGTACCCACTTTACAATATGTTCCATATCTTGGCTATCAGCATCACTGTAGTGACGAAGACGGTCCAAATTGGTAGGCTTTGGCCCAGCCCTGAGCTCTAACTCAATGCAATATTCCGCGTCAATTGGTTCATAATTGTGGCCTGTAGAGCAAATGCAAAATCAGGAAATTTATCTGTTTTTCGTTCATTTTAACCCCTAAATATTTCTCAAAGCAATAAGTGCCTACTCTGGCCTCAACCCCGCCTCCATGCAAAATTTCCTGAGAATCGGATCATAATTGCGAACTTTATCGTGATTACAATTTACGTAGATAGATAACGAACACAAATAGCTAGAGCGACTCAGCTCGGCGAGATAGGAAGAACCACATGTAACTTCCTATGTCTTGGACAAATATTTCGAGGTGTTACATATTTTTTGACCCAAACAAACTGCAATACGCAATAGTGTTTTTAGGTTATAACAAGTAAAAAACATAAAGTTCGGACGGGCCAAACTTCTAATACCCTCCACCATTAAGTAAATAAAACATGTTTATATAAACTTATTTGAATTCAAACGTGTTCCATTTTAAACTAAAACAAATAAAAAAGCTGTAAGTTCGGCGGGGCCGATCCTCCACCATTTGGCAATTTTCAAAAAAATAAAATTCGTTAAAAATTTTGTTAAAATCTTAAAAATACCGAATGAAGCCGTTATATTAGGACGTGGACCTGCTAGGGGTAACGTTATATTGGGGCTATGCGAAGACGTGTACCTGCACAGACAATTTTCTGTCATAGGTTGTAATATTACGAACTCAAACACCAAATTTGAAACAATTTCTTTGAATAATGTCGCTAAAATCATCACAATACCGAATATCGGGAGGCACGTTATACAAAGGCGTGGACCTGCACAGAAAATTTTCTGTCTTAGGCTGTGGTATCCATTACGAACTTCAAATACCAAATTTGAAACATTTTCGGTGAAAATGTCGCTTAAATAACCAAAATACCAAAAAAAGGGAGGTACCATTATATAGGGGGCTATACCAAAACGTGCACGTACATCACTTCATACTTCATTTCGTTCGGAAGCTAGAATGATTTCCACAGACAGACGGACATGGCTAAATCAACATTGAATTTTATGCTGATCAAGAATATATATACTCTGTGGGATCTAATATGTATATTTAGAGGTGTTACAAACGGAATGACAAACTCAATATACCTACCATAATATGGTGGAGGGTAAAAAAATACCAGTAAGACCGTTTGGATAAAGCTGTTTAACTTTTCAAAAAAAAAAAAAAAACAGTAAAAAAAGTCCTAAAGTCGGGCGGGGCCGACTATATCCAAATCTGAACCGATCTCGATAAAATTTGGCAAAGATATTTCTGAGCTGTATATTGATATATTTCAAAGAATATCGTTCTTACGGAGTCCATATTACGGCTGTGGGTAACAAATACAATAAATCGGATGAACAATATATATGGGAGCTATAGCTATATCTGAACTGATCTTCACCAAATTTGTCACACTTCTAGACTCAATTCGGTCGCATGTGCCAAATTCCATCCCATTTGGGCAAATATTAGACGTTTGGTGTACAATAAAAGGTAAATCGGACGAAGTTAACTATGGGAGCTAAATACAAATCTGAACCGATCTCGATAAAATTTAGCAAAGGTATTTCTGAGCTGCATTTGATATATTTCCTAAATAAAAAAATCGGATGAACAATATATATGGGAGCTATAGCTATATCTGAACCGATTTCGATCAAATTTGGCATACTTATTTTCAGGCCTAATTTGGTTGTATGTGCAAAATTCCATACTATTCGGGGTGATAGTACACGTTTGGTGCACAATAAAAGCCAAATCGGACGAAGATATATATGGGAGCTATATCTAATTTTTTACCGATTATCTCCAATTTCAATAGGGTTCGTCTTTGGGCCAAACAAATGTTGTTTGGAAAATTTCATCTCAAACGGATAATAAATGCGACATGCATTTTGTTCACAAGAATGCATGGACAGACGGATGGACGGACAACTCAGAAAGTGATTCTATGCAGATCATCAAAAGGAACTATGGGTCTATCTCGTTTCCTTTTGCCTGTTACAAACAAATGCACAAAGACATAATACCCTTACCACTATGTGGTGTAGGGTATAAAAAAACAGCCCCTTATATGTTGGCCATAGGATTTTCATCTACCAAATCTTCTTAAATACCAAATTTGAAACAAATCCGTGGGTAAATGTGACTAGGAATATCAAAATACCGAATTTCGGTAGGTATCATTATATGTGCGCTATAAGAATACGAGGACCTAAATATTATATGTTCGGCCACCGGAGCGAGAACCCATTAAGAACTACAAATACCAATTTCTAGATAAATCCGTGGAAAAATTTGGCAAAAATTATCAAAATACCGAATATCGGGAGATGCCGTTATATGGGGGCTACACCAAAACGATATATCTCATTTCCGAAACCAATCATCATGGCCACAAGAAACATTGTTGTGCAAGTCTTCAAGCTCTACGTCAAATAATGTGAGCTGTGTCGTCATTTTAACAGACAGACGGACATCGTTAAATCGACTTAGAATTTTATGCTGAAGGTGAAGGGTATAAAACACATTTCCAAATTTGTTTTATGGTTTACTTACATGTTATATTTGTTTTATTTTTAAAAATATAAAATTTGAAAAAAAAAACTTATTTGGAATAGTGGTTCTTCTATTCCATACTCACAAAATCTCTAACTTCATATTTCACAAACTACGCGTCATTTTATAAAAACTCCATGAATCTCTAACGTTTCTTTGTACAAGTCACTTGTTATGCACAGTAACTAATTATTAACTAATCCGTAAGATACGAAAACTTAAACTAGCAGATTAAACGTAGATACACAACCAATAGAACTGTATTCGGTGTTATGGAAAATCCGATACATCCAAAATAACCTCAAAATAATATGTCAAACAAACTCATCTTCTGTGCAATACCCCCAAAGAGTCTACTTCAAAAGAAAACGGAACTGTAAACGGCAACCGACTGTGCTAAATTCGCTTTTCACGCCATTCCATTTGTTCTTACAAAATAGTTTAGTAAAC